GCATTGAAGTTGTTTGGGGCCATGCTAAAGGCAAAAGTGCAGCCAGATGTTATCAGCTACAGTGCTGCCATCAGCGCCTGTGAGCAGAGCGGGCAGTGGCAGAAAGCATCGAAGTTGGTTGAGGCCATGAGTGCAGCCAATTATCATCGGCTACACAGTCGGAATGGTTGGCGGACAGTCGCAACAAGCATTGGAGTTACTTAAGGCCATGCCAAAGGCAAGAGTAGAGCCAAATGTGATTAGCTGTAATGCTTTACTTGACGACCCAGCGATTGGACAGCCCAGCATCATGTCCAGTCACACCATGTTTCATTGCAAGAGGCTCAGACTCAAACATTATTCTCCCTAGAACTAACATGGAAGTGGAAAACCACCTGTTTGATGTGGAAAATGGTCTTCCAAGGGGCCACTTCCATGTTAGTTCCAGGGAGAGTAGTTGATTCAGGGACTGTGAGGCTTCCGAGATCCACCATCTCATGGTCTTCACGAAGGAACTGCTCGTCGACTCGACTCGACCGCCTGGCGCAGAACAGGAGTGACACAGCCGGCAGATCTTCGACCTTGAGGAAGGCACCGTACGGACAGAATCCCAAACGCTCCATGAGACTCAAATAGACCTCTTTTCAACCACCCAACGATGGCCAGTGACCTTCCCAGTGACCTCTTCATGGCATACGTGACCTGAAATCAAGGCCGTTTCGTGACCGACCCGCCAGATCTCAAGTTCGGTCACTGGGAAGGTCCTTGTATGTATAGGCAAACATGCGGCATCCCGCGTGGAGTTGCTGCCACTCGTCTCAGCTGCCGAAAAGAGGCCGTCGCCCGGACGAAGCGCTGAACGCTGCGTCGCGCGCTGCTGCTCGCTCGCTCGGGTGTGACCACCTGCTCGCCGGTCGCTGTTGGGGAAGCAGTCGACCCTTTCCGTCATAGCAGAGGGGTTCTCGCTCTAACGAGCGCGGCGACCCTAGCTGTCTTGGACGTGTTTCCGCTTTCTGTTGAGCTGGAGGGTCCGAAGGCCTCACTTCAGTCATTGAAGATGACAACCATGACCATGGATTTGGGCCATGTTGGAGCCCCCAAAACACGAAAGTGTGTGGCATACACTGGGGTTCTTTCTCTGGCGGCCATGGACTTCTTCTTCCAGTCCAAATCCTTTGGGTACCCAGGGCATTGCTGGGCAGTTCCCACGAAGTCGCTCGCTGGTGTCGTCCCAGTCGTTCTCGGCAACGACTCAAACCTATGCAAAACATCCCCAAAACTACCGCAGGATACCGCAGGTGCTGATCTATGTCCATCTATATCCTAACCTATGCTAATCTAAAAATCTTGCAGAAAAAACATGTTTTAACAGAACTGGTTCTGGGATAGTGGCTGGGCAGAACTGATTCTGGGATCAGCTAGCTGCTATGGAGCTATGGATCTCCACGTTCCAGCAGACTTGGCTAGAAATCCAAGGGATCGGAACCGGGGGAGACCTGTCGACCACCGGGCGCTCTCGGGGTAAGACCTGGATGTGTCACGCGGTGTTTTTCGTGGTCGCGACCTGTTGTGTCCGACCGAGACGTGTCGTCATGACCTTCACCCAAAGAAGGGGGACAAGAAGTAGTAACTAAGTAGACCTTTCCAATGACCTAATCCCCTCAAAAATGGCGCCCCTGTCATGAATCTCCACCCAAAAACCAAGCAAAGAACCTCGGATCCCCACCTCTCGACCGAACCAACGGGTGGCGGTCGTGGTTCGACAGCGCCTCGTCGCGCCGTCCGAGGACTCGGTGCGGAAGGCACGGCAGAACTGCCAGCGGACGCAGCCGCCGCCTGGCCGGACCGAGTGGACGGAGCGGACGGAGTGGACGGAGTGGACGGAGCGGATGGGCATCGCTACCGCCTTGACCCTAGGCTTCCAACAACCATTAAGATCATTGATGTATAGATTTGATATACCGAATCAACTATAAGGATTTTGCATTACAAAAACCAGGGTCAACCATTGTTTTAATGGTCTTGGAAGTCTAGGGTATACCCAGGAAGAATGTGGATCACCTGCCGATCACCCTTTTGTTGGAGGGGGATTGATTGGGGACACCCCACTTCTTTGTTCGAGCTCGGTTGACCTTCTTTTTCCAAGGGAAGCTGAGGGAGTGAGTTTGAAAGAACATTGAATTGATTGGGCAAAAAAAATGCCGATTGGAATGAGTGAAGATTGTGATTATGATATCCCTTCAGGTTTAAAGACCCAGCAGAAACGGGTCCTGAAAACCTCATTGAGTAGCATTTTTTTGGAATCCACTTCAGCAGACATGAGGTCCAATTGACCTGTATAAACATGTGTTGCTTGAGCTGGTTTGGGCTTTTGACGGTCAGCTTCTCGCTAACAGCCAGAGATTCGCTCGAAGCTGGTATGGCGACACACTCCCTTGATCGCTTGGACCTTTTTTCAGCGAGTAGATGTCAGCCCACCGCCTGAAAGAGGAACTGGAACTGGATGGCTCCACCTCTTTGTCGTACGGGAACATGGCTCCACCCATGGGAACCCATGCCGCCTTCATGCCTTCGCTCGCCCGAATGTTCGGTGTCTCGGTGCCTAGCACGAGTGTTGATGGATTCTGTCGGTGTTGGGAGTTCTTCCCATCAACCAAGAGGGGGCACCAAGGGTATAAACTGATGAAAAAACGGATGAGTTTGGCCTAGTGTCATGACTGCAAACACAAAATCAACGAATTGATTCCCGGAACCAAAAAGCACCCAACAGCATACCTGCGCCAGCATGGCAAATCCGCGAGCCATCGCGAGCCTGCGCGGTGTGTTCGTCAAATCCACCTGTCCGTGACACGGTGCCAAACGTCTGCGAGGCTCCAGTGCTTCGAGATGAGTGTGAAAAATCAGCAGAACCTGGAGTATCTGGGCTGGAAGAACAAGCAGCAAGCACATTCTCTCTATTTTATTTTATCGTTTGGATTCGAATGAATCTGCTGCTGCTGGGTTTGCTGCTGCTGCTGCTGCCGACCAACCTTTCGTCCACCCCCCTTTTCTCAAGTACACATATTGGGGTGGCATGGTTTCAGAAGCCTATTATACAGGCACACCCCCATGGAGAGTTTGGGTATCAAAACTTAAAATGGAGACACAAAAATGCCAGCATGTATTTTGGACCGAACAAGTTGTCTGGAGTCCAAGCAAAATTCATCATCACTTCCAACAAACATGAGAAATAGATGTATAAAGATCGGTTGCTCCCTGGGAGACCGTTGTCTTCCGGATGTCTCCAAAATTCACTCCCCCCCCCCATATATATTCCATCAGCCATCCATTTTTCTCTCGCGTTTCACTTCTCCTGACCGATCCCCTCCTTCACCGCGAGTCCTCCGTACCTTCCAAAACACCGCGAGTCCTTCGTCCCGCTCGTCAACCTCGGTACCGGACGCTCCCGCGCGTGCACGGACGCGCAAAGGAAGCCCTTCTGGTGGCTCGCGCGGCGCCTCTGTGGGCAACCGCACCTGGCCTTCGCCCCGCCGCGGGCGCCGCTTCCGCCGGCCGACGGGGTGGCCAAGGGTCCGAGCGCGGAGGCGGTGGCGCGGCAGGTGGCCAGGCCGGTAGAGGCGGGGAGGGAAGGGAGTGGGCCAAAAGGCAGGAAACGCTCGATGAAATGCTCGAATTCTATATGAAATGCTTTGGTGCAGCACTTGTGAACTTTACTTTAGATTTGACTCTGAGATGGGGAGTGATGTCCTGATCACTTGGCCAGCTCCTTGCAGAGGAAGAACAGTTACATGTGTGTTTTGTGTTTCACATACTCAGCACCCCACAGCCACATGAGTTCCACCAATTCACTTCGCCACAGGTCCCAGTCCGGGAGTCTTGAGCTGGCAGACGGCGCAGCAGAGCTCGTCACGGGAAAAAAGCGGCGCGGCGATACCTGCAGCGATACTCTTCGAAAAGACATGAACGGGATGATTGAACCCAGTGATATTTTTGTTCAAGTGAGTTGAAACTACCAACCAGACGTCCTTTCCAGCAAGATATCACAGTGGCAAGGATCATGGAAGTGTGCTCCATTCGATCTTCCGTGCCAAACTTGAGGTGACTTGGACATTCACACATCTTCGACTTAACCCTTATGTTGGCAGTTCTTCCTTTTTTATATATGAGCAGGCTTTCTTTGACTTTGAGGTATATATGGACACTAACTTAACCCAATTTATGCATTGCTGTGACTTCTATGGAATCCTTAAGATGTTAGTGACTCAATTCATACTCAACTCATACCTTTTTGGCTGCAAAAAGGCTCATTGGGGCACCCCAAAAGAACTCAGCTTGACCAAAGATCAACCGTTGCGTTCCCTTTGTGGGGGTTGGATCCTTCATATCCTTAGACATGTGTTGAGCCAAACACCCTTAAATCAATCCTTTTCTGAACCGTGAAAAGTGTTATACGACCAACGCCTGCCTCAGATCTGTACTCCGCACTACTCTGCCCCTGCAGAAAGAATCTGTAGACGGATCACCCCACTAATATTCAGCAACCGTAGGTTTCTTTTTCCTGTCTGGTGCTATTCACGCAAAAAACAGAAAACGCGCGGTTTGCCGCCGTCGCCGGTGCAGCTGATCAGTGGAGGCGCCGCGTAACGAGCTCCGTCCCAGGTGCAGAAGGACGCCGCAGGGCACTCGCCCATGTCCATCTTGGCGGGGCGCCCTGAGGTGGAGGAGGTGGTGGTTGGGGACATAAGGACAGTGGGGACAGTGGGACCCACCAAATGTGTGTAATTTGTTATTGTTCGTGTTTTATAGATTTTTATAGTAAAGGTGGATCAGTGCCAAACACGACGCCCACCGCACCCTTCACTGCGGAGTCTGTCTCGGGTTTTCCTGCCGACTTCAGTCACACGCCGGGCTCGCACTGAGCCAAAGCACCGCACGGATGAGCCTGTGGGACTCTTCAGTCGCTGGCCGAGGGGCAAGACGGAAAGTTCAGCAGCATCTACCACGAGTGTGTGATGTGCTACGCCATCTCTCTGGCTTACGAGAAGCGACATCTTCAGTGGGCTGGACTCTGTGTTCTTTCACAGGCCAGTGCGTCATAGACGACATGCAGTGTGCGCTGACTGGTGCCAATGCCACGAGACTCGCTCCGACGGTGGCGCGGAACTTCCTCGAAGTATTGAAGTCTGTCTATCTGGCGCCAGGCCACAAGCTGGATGACGTAAAGACCGTGGTGGCTGCTGAGGGCAGTCTACACTGGGGTCTACGGCCAGCACGGGATCCCGCTGCATGTGGTGGACGTCAACACCATCGCCCTCCACCTGTGATCATCATGGACGCACAATGGCAGCAGTACTATTGGAACCACTACCTGCTCCAGCAGCAGCAACAACACCAACTAAGGTGGTTGACGCTTGGACAGTGACGTCGATGGTGATAAAGCGGCACCAAGAACTTTGGCCAACAAGAACGACAGTCTTCTATGACTTCATCACGAACGCCAGCTTCTCCATCGAAGGGCACCCTTGGCCTGTGGATTAGAGTCTAGATCGGCGATGGACTGGATGAATGGGCGCATTTACACACAGAGGAGCGTCATCGCCTGTGAGAATCCTTTTCTCGACAGGAAAGCTTTTATGGAGCATGAAAGGAGATGGGCCACAGCCACAGTTCCTGGGCAACAGCTCGCCCTTCAGCACCAATATTGCCCATACAAAGGTGGCCACAAAATTTTCCTTTGGTGCAATTCTTGTACCTCATGCAAAGAGCGGTCAGGCTGGAGAGGATATTCTATCTACGATGATGCCACAAAACAAATTACTAGGGCCTACACGCCACTAGACCAGCATGGAGACTTCAAGGCTGTCAAAACATGGAATCCCTTGACAGCCACTGCCGAAAATGCGCTCAAAGCCTTCGTAGCAGATAACCACCGGTTCACATTGCAAGATCTTGTCAAAGTGGTTGAACAGCACCAAGCGCGGCCCAGCGATACCTTCCTGAGTACATGGCAAAGAACCACAGGCCCCATAGAGGAACACCAGAGGACCGGTTGACATCTCACAAGTGGGTGGAAGCAGATTGGCGGCAGCTGGAACGGGAGCTTGGCACGGTCCACAACCTGACAGAGGCGTCTGACACCCTGAAGATTACAGCTTCTGTGCATACGGATGATGCTACCGTGGTTGTCTTTTGCAATCCCTTGTTGTTGAAAGAAACCTTAGGCCGCCTAGACAACCAGAAGTACATCAAATTGTGTGGAGATGGGACATTCCGGCTGACTAGGGATGAATGGGTGTTGATGACTGTTGGCGTGCTCTCTAAGCATTATGCTCGGGCTGATGGATTTCATGCTTTCCGCACCTCTTTTGACCCTCTTCTTTTTGCCCTTGCCAACAAAGAGAGCCAGCCCACCTACCAAGTTCTTTTCGATGCGCTGGAATCTTGCGCTCTCCAATTTGCCGGGATGAGCCTCCGAGAAGCATGCGCCCAATATCATGCTCACATGCATTATGGCGAGGATTTGGCAGTGAAGGCAGCTTTTGCAAAAGCACTTCGTGTCACAGACTGGGCGCATTTCCTGGGTGCATGTAGCCGCCCCAAAAAATCGTTCGACGCCCCATGTGAGAGAATTGCTGCCTATAGGGCTGGTGTCATTGCCACCATGAAAAAGCATTTGTCAACCTTTGGACAAAAGCTTGTGCCTTTGATAGAGCGTGCGATATTTTGCCTCCGTTCCCTCCCAACAGCTCTCCTATTCATATTCCACACAGTCACTCATGTCTTGCTCCAAACTCTTCTGGCGCAACAGCCTTCAGAGCGTCCTGCGGCCAAAGCCTTTCGAAAACATTATCTCTCGCTACTCTCAGAAGAAGAAGCAAAAAGTGCGTATGGACTTGCAAACTGGCCTGGTGGTCCAGATTTGTTTTACACGGCTGATTGGTGGTGCGGAATCCAGCGCATACAGCCTGGGTCTGCTTCCGGCACGCAGGCGCAAGAGTCGTGGCACGGACAGAAGCTAAAAAAGTATATGGGTCTCCGCCAATCTTTGCCGGTCTTGGTCCAATCTTTGTCTTCGTTCGCCTCCTCGCGTCTGCAGAACTTGTGAGCTTCCAACACATCTCTAACTGATGTTCCAAATGAGCCGTTTCCTGACAAAGCTGTGCTCTTCGATTCCAATGCTCTCACAAAACAGGGGCGGACTTCAGCCGAGCAATTCCATCGAACAGGGGCCACGAAACGTTGGGACGATGGCCATGGCTCTGTGTTTCTTTGCATGCGTCGAACTTTGGCAACATTTGACCGTGCAGCCACAAAATGGATCCGTGCTGAGGACACCGAGGTCACCCCACCTCCTGCATCCTTTCCAGAAACATTTGCTTCCCTTTTGCGTTCGACATCGGATGCTGCTGTGACGCAAGCTTTGGTGGCTTTGGGCTTGGGGCCGGAACCTTTAGAAGATGTGGAGAAATTGGTCAAAACGCTCCAGTCTTATGTTCTTGTAGTGGTCGGGCCTGCAGCTAGTGAATTTTGGTGTCGCCAACCTTCAGATTCGGATTCCACGCCCCATGTGCAGGCGATTTGTGCATTCTGCGAGACATTCGGCTTGCATGGCTCCTGTGAGCACACTCATGCTGCTTTCTTGGATTTGGAACTGATTTCTTTGCAAGCCCCCACTTTCCCTTCTCGTCAAAAAAAGATCCCTGTGTCAGAGCAAGACTCGGTGCCAATCCTTCTTCCTTCCCGTTCTGCGCGCCAACCGGCGCAGCTGTCATCACCCCGGCAAGCAGCTCTTCGGCCACACAATGACCCAGGGTTGGCAGCCTGTTTCATTCGTTGGATTTGTGGAGGGCTGCGCTCGAGCAGCAACATCTCTCTGTTGAGCAGCTTGCTTCCTTTTCGTTCGCAGATGCTTGCATGGCAGCGCCCACGTTCCGTTTGGAATTATGGCGCGCATGCAGCGTCTTGCGCAACAGTGGCTTTGCCGACCGGTTGGGGACTTAAATGACTGCTTTCGTTGCTTTACCATTTGTGTGCATCCCTGGGCCCGCTAAGGCTGGTGCAGATGCTGAAGCCGCCATGGTGCCCTCTGCGGCTGAAGCGGTACTTTGGCAATCATTTGCGAGCTGCAAAATTCTTTAGTAAAAGGTTGGCAGCCATGTATGTGTCCTGTACGTGCACGCACATAGACTGAACATTTTTGGACCGAGGCCCCTCAAGCATCAAGTCCATCCAATCCATCGCGGCAGGCCATTGTGTTGTGTAATCAACGGTGTTAATGTAAGTATACAGTATACAGCCATCTTTGTGTCCTCTACGTGCATGCACATAGAGTGAAAACATGTTGCGCCCAGGCCCCTCTAGCATCAAGTCCATCGAATGGATCGGGGCAGGCTTTCATTTCAGCCTTCTTCCTGTAACTATGCATCCGAGTATGTGCCCTGAACATGCATGCACATGACTCAAACACAAAAGCGCCCTTTTGAAACTGTCCTGCCAGGCACCAGAAGGAACCACCGAACCTGTACGCAGTCGTAGCGGTTCGTGGACTGCGTCAGAACTATGATGTTCACCTTGCTTTTTCCCCCCTCCATTCTGCTTGTACTTTCTGAGGGGATGAGCCAAAGCGAACGTCTCACAACCCTTCGCGCTGGAGTCCGCGCATCTCATTTCCGGTAAAAAAAGGGCCGTTCGCAACACTTGCATCGTTCAGTTGCAATCTTATCCTGTTTTCCTTCAGTGGCACTCTTATCATTTGCGCGGCTGCTGCTTCTGTATGAACTCACTCCTAAACGGGCAATCTCACAGTTTCATACTTTTGCTTTCTTTCCTTGCCCTTCTCTTGTGACTGGGAAGCCCTGGTCACATCAACTGTAAGGAACTCAAACAATAACTTTCTCACAGGCCTTTCGCCCAAGCCACGAATTTCTATTAATGACGAGCCTGAACCTTTCAAGTGAATTCAATTCCAACATTTCACTCCCTCTCCTGTTCCCACCTCCCTTTTGCTTGCTTCAACCGCTCTTTCAAATGGGTAGTCTGGGCTGCACGCTGCAGTGAAACTGCTTGCCTCGGCATTCAGAGGTTCGTGGTGACATCAAGTTTCAAGAACTCAATAACTCAACCAATAATTCTCTCAGAGGCCTATCGCCCAACCCGCGACTTTCAGATCTCAATGAAGCATCTGTAAATGAACATCCATCCAGCCAAGTCCAATTATTTCATCCCCGTTCTCTGGAAAATTTGCAAGAAGTACATACATACGTGTCTATTTCTCTATCTGTCTATCTCATCTACCTATCTGTCTATTTATCTTTATTTCCATCTACAGATCGATCTATCTATCTATCTATCTATCTATTGATCGATCTATTTCTCTATCTATCTATCTATCTATCTATTGATCGATTTATTTCTCTATCTATCTATCTGTCTATCAATCTATCTACTCATTTTTCTATTATGTATCCCTCTAAATACCTATCATTCTTTCTTCCTATTGTTAATACTTTTCCTTTTGCGCTGTTCCCCTCTTACCCCGCTTTTCATCGACGTAGGTATCCACCCCCCTTCCAGACAAAAGATTCTTTTCTCTGTCTCCTTACTTTGCCTTTGTGTCCATTTGTTTATCTCGTCTCTTTGTCGCTTTCTTATACCACAAAGCTTCTTCTCTGTGTCTTCTTCGCTACTGGTTGTCTCTTTATTATGTGTTTGATCTCTATTTTGTTGTTTTTTTGATCCTCTTATTTTTTTCTTGATCCTTGTTTGTTTTTTTGAGTCGTCGCTCCAAGCGGTGCCCAAGTGTTTTGCACACTTGGCAATACAAATGCCACCAAACGGGCACATGCATGCCAGTCAAACAGAAAGTTGAAACCTTCGATTGTCGAGGCAATGAATGTTTACAATGAACGTTCCAAAGAGGCAAGAAAGTCCGCTCATCAAAACAACGAGTTCAAGGGAACCATTAGTGATTTTGACAAGGCCAAGGACGAACGCATGGTGAGTCTTCTCCTCAATGCCATACCGGAGGCGGTGAAGACGGAGATAGTGACCTCGCGACACATGGCGGTGGCGCAGATCCTCTTTGCCTTGTACATCAAGTACCAGCCGGGTGGTCAGGGAGAGCGCATCAGCTTGATCAAGTACCTCACGGACATCAAGGCCTTGGGGGGCGGAGCCTCGTCTGTACACGCGGAATTTCCCTCGAATATACACGCGGAGAATTGATCTCGTTTGTGCACGCGAAACTCGTTTGTACACGCGGCTCCCTCGTTTGTACACGCGGCTTACACGGCTGAAAAAATGAATGAATGAATGAATGAAAGAAATGAAATGAAATGAAATGAAATGAAAGAATGAATGAATGAATGAATGAATGGAACCCGACCAGATTGTTTCACAATCTGAACCTTGTTGTCTCATTTTACGTCCATCGCTTTAGATGCGCTGTTGGGGCTGTCAGATCCGTGGACGTTATTAACCCCCCCCCCCCCACCCCACCATAATCATCAATCAAACGCAGAGCGTCTGTGTGACGTGAACCTGTGGAAGCAATGAGCAAAAAGAGATCATCATGTAGATGAATGTCCAGAGGGACGTTATTAACACATCATCAATCAAACGAAGCAATGAGCAAAAAGAGATCATCATGACTGAATTGGTGTGTGCGCAAATGAGGCGAATCATGTGTGCGCATTTGAGTTTGGGGTAACATGGGCTGTTTAAAGAGGAATGTAATCGATGTGTGCGCAGATGAGGGGAATCATGTGTGCGCATTTGAGGTAAATATATAAAAAAGTCTGTGTGCGGATTTGAGGGTAATTATGTGTGCGGAAATGAGGCGCCATCCGCCTTGGGGTCCTTGGCAGAGGTGACGCAAAATGCACGCCATTGGTACAGGATAATGTGGGGGGTTCATTGGTCAAGAGTCTACATTACCCGGTACAAGATACCGGCGCGACCTCATCTCATCGTGGTCTCCTCCGCCAGTCTTCCCAAGGCCAAGCACGTCTTCCCTCGCGGCGCGGGCGCGTGGCACGAGGAGCTGCCGGCGCTGAAGGCAGGCCGGTGGATTGGACCCGCACGCATATTTTTCAGCAGGTATATATTTTTGGGATGCACTGATTTCCAAGATGTCCTAGAAATTTAGGATAGCTCAGGTTTTTGTTGATGTTCAAACATTGTTTAAAATACAAGCCGTGTAGAACGGCTTCTGTGTTCAGCCCTGTAGAGGTAACCTCATGAAATGCCATGGTGCCGCTATGAAAGCAGGCACATGGCGCCAGTGGATCGGATGTCAACTTGGAAGTGGAGGACAGACAGCAACAGCGCAGCGCGCGCGCGAGTGGTGCGCCAGTTGGCGGTGGCAGTTCGGTGGTGAAAAACTTCGGGAGGCCGAAGTGTTCAGGTGAAGAAGGAAGCAGAGCCCAGCCCATCCATGGGAAGGGAATGGATGGAACAGTCTGACTCTCCATTTACCTCATCCATTTTCTGATCCTTTCATGGGATTCTCTAACTATTCCAGTCCCAGGAGTGTTTGTGCTGGGGTGTCCCAGTCAACCTGTAACAGTCGATAAACAAATATAACTTTTTGCGGAAGGCCTTTGTTACTACTACTACTACCACCACTACTACTACTACTCCTACTCCTACTCCTACTCCTACTCCTACTCCTACTACTGCTGCTGCTGCTACTACTACTACTATTATTACGACGACGACGACGACGACTACTACTACTACTATAATAGCAATAGTAATGATCATCATCCACTGTTACAGGGACTAGGATATACCCAATGTCATGGATATATTTGTTTCTTGCACATGGTATTCTACAGCCATGCCGATGCTTCCTCTTCGCATGCGCAAGACCTTCCCCAGCAGAAGCAGTCTCCCATTTCGAACCGGTGTATAAGTGATGCAAAGTACCTAAAACTTGTTTGTCCCTGACCAAGTGAAGCTCAGCTACCACTACATGAGAAACCAAGTTTTCTAGGTCTCTGGCTTTAGTCTTTAGGTCACCAATAACTTCAAGATGTTGTCCCAAAGAAGACCAACTCACCGTTAAGCCCCACTTGGTGACAAGTTGTCCCAAAGAACTGGGCCGAAAGACCCTCATGATCGCTCCAGAGTTGTGCACCAACTCCTGATCATCAACCATTGTTCATCCATCGGAGAACCCGGAGAGTATCGGTGAATAGCTCCAATGAGCAAACCCTAAGGCGTGTTTAACAGCTGTTGAGGGTCGGCTGAAGGTTGCGAGACAGCAAGCGACTGCACCACTCTTTGCGTAACATCAAGAACATCGACATTTGAAGCACTATTCCAACCCCTAGGGCTCCAAGTACTCCAAACCCACCCCAAACACCTTGTCAGAAAGGTACTTGAAACCCTAGGGAACTGGGAACGGATTGTTTTGTATCTTTTTGGTGTGCTCCGAGGGCGCAAAAACTGGTGCACACAGTTCATGGATACCATTTCCCATGCAGAGCTTGACGCTCTTCTTTGCCACATCTATCCGATAATCCTTTTAATATTTACATGAAGACATGCCAGCACTTCCAGTATCAGTAGTAAATCATATTTTCACCTCCCTTCACCAAATCGGCAACCACTATACGTCCAAGCCCGTACTGTAGGTCTTTCACCCCGTGGTCCATGGAATGCATCCTGACAAGAAGGCGAGCGCATCAGCAAAATCAGTGAACCCGAAAACAAAAGGGTCTCCCAAACGTGAGGGTTTTCGATGTTTCTCCTGCGTCGTATACCAGTCGACACTCCATACATGATACTAACATCTTTGTCAAGCTTGGGGTGGTTGTCCTGGGGTCTTACTTGGGTGGAAGATCCCTGCCAGTCCCCAACGCATGCAATGCATGCCGATGCGGGCTCGTCACTCCCTCGCAGTTTGGGGACCGTGCCCTGCACTCCCAGAATGACGGGCATGATTTAGCTACATTGACCATGGTTTCAGCGACAGGACACTTCTGCCAGTCTCATAGGATCTCATAGGTCACTATGCTCATTCCAGTTTCAATCCAAAAACCGATCCAAAACCGCCCTCATCTCCACGCAGCGCAGGATGAGGCCACCGGACGGATGGAGAGCCACCCGGCCGATTGGACGAACGCGAGATTCGGTGGTCAAAGGCGAGATTCGTGGGTTTTCACACCACGCTTCTCGCGTATTTTTTAGGCGTGTCGTGAGTGGATTCGCGCACGCTTCACACGCCGCCCGACCATCGCCAGACCTCCGCGTGCTGCTGTGAGGCCTCAGCTGCAAGTCCTCAGTGTTACGGCTTTCACCACGTTTCAGCGAAGAGCTCAGGTGGGTCCGTCCCAGAGTTCGAGCCTTTTGCTGGTTGTTCCGAAAGGGTGGACTGCAGCAGTCCCTTCGGTTTGCATGGTGTAAGTTGGACTTTCCTATGCAACAGTTCTGCTTGTTGGCCAGTTTGATGAACCAATGTCCTGGTTTTGCGGATCAGGGGGTGTTTGCTTTTCCAGAACTGGGTGAATCCCCTGGCATGGGGAAGATTCGTTGGTTTTTCCAGGTTCCCTTAGGCAAATCCAAGTTGTAGAGTTGCAAGATCCAGGTCTGACTTCCCAAAAGTACACCTACTGGGGCATGGCAAGTCGTGGTGTGGTTTACACCTGAGGCCTTCATGGAATATTTGGGCACCGCTGCAAAGCAGCGACCCATTTGCTGGAGGAGTTCCAGCTTGCAACATTCAAGTTTTGATGGTTGCTTTAGCCAGGGTTCTCCAGTTGTTCAATCCCGGCAAAAGCATTTGCATGGTTCTCATGCCATGTTGCCCCGGGGTTTTTGGTGCGATCCTATTTGTTTAAAACACAAGCCGCGCAGTTCATTCTGTCAGAAGTGGATGAAAGCAATGTGGTCAGCCTTCTTGCAGACCAGCTTTGCTTGTTGTTTTGAAGCCTGAAAAACGAATGCTGATGCTGGGTATTTTTTGGAAGTTTGGCAAGCTCCGTGTAGGGACAATTTGAGCAATCCCAACCCTCTGATATACTGACAGGTTCCAACACCACTTTGAGCCTCGTTTCAACTTCTAAACCACTAAAGGCTAAACCACCACCATCCCCAATCATTGCAGTTGCCCAATGGCAGCCCGTACCATCACTGTCCGGCACCCTCTCACCGTGACAGGGTGCAGACCAGCGCGGCGACACTGAAGGCGGGAGGAGCGGGGTTCGGACGCTGGACGGTGGGCGGAGAGGAGGTCTGACCGCCCCGGACCGCGCCCGACCGTACCGCGGTTCCTCGCCTTTGTTCCTCGCCTGGTTGCAGGGGGGGCACTGACCTGAAGGCACTGAAGGCACTGTGTGGTGTTGGAGTGGCCTGCAAGGCTGTTGGAGAGTTGCATCGACACTGGAACGCGCATGGTCCCAGGGTATACATTAGAAATGGGTACAGAAGTCCGAGCGACCGAGGATGTTCAGCAAGCAAAACAAAGCTTTTGGAGAATGAAGATTCTGTGTGGCTGCATGATCCACCATGGCATTTCTACTCATTCAGTGGGTCAATTCAGTGGTTCAGCTGCGCAAAACATGGGGTGTTGTTCCGGACGTTTCCGGACTAAAGTGAGGGAAGAAAGATTATGTACAAAAAGCTTGATATGAGGTGCCAAAAAGGATGAGGAGCCGCTAGTGTGTCGTCCGCGAAACCGAATGACCAAATATCGGGGGAGCACAAGTCCTTTGAAGGGGAGGTCATTTGCTAGATGTGTCCAGGGAGGTCATCCTGCTTGTTTGCACAAGCCCTCGGCTGGAATACAGCGAGGGCTTTAATGATGGCGCAGAAAGCAGCAGGCTGCGCTATCGCCGGTTGCTGGCGTGTTTCAGGGGCAAAGGTTGTTCCATCCCAATTCGGCAGAAGCTGGCGAAGAGGCCACGTTAAAGTCGGTTCCAAGCTATAGGCTATTGCCATGACGGTCCGGTTCAATGGAGAACCTGCGGAACCCGTTTTCGAGGTGGCGCCTGAGTGCTGCCGCAGCGCACGGGTCGTGACGGAGGTTTTGGCCATGCTGCAGAGCGGGGAGTGCCGGAGCCCAGAGGGATGGCGACCACGGAGGGTGATTGGTGGATATTGGTGGAAAGAAAAGATGATATGTTGACATAGGATTCCTGAATTTCATGAATCAACAGCATGTTGTTGACTGTTGTATTTCAAGTCATGCGACCAACCGACCAGTGGTCCATGGTGTGGAATCAACTGACCTGGAGAGACGACTGGCGACCCAGTGGGCCCCAGGATTGCATGTTCTGCGGGCAGATGGAAGCCATGCACAAGTTCGGGGACAGCTGATCCCGTCCATGAGTCATTAATTTATAGTTGCTGTGAACATATATTATTGTAATTACATTAAATGTAAGTATTTGCAGGTTGGAAATCCATAGACCTGTGGGCAAGTCAGGTTCTAGTGGTCAAGAGTCTTATGCTTTGCGTCTTTGTTTGCTTGTTTCAAGTAGTTGCAAGTCAAGTTGCAAGAGGTAAATGAGGATTATTGTTCAGTCAGTTGGCTATGCTTTCAGCCTTCAAATCCCGATATTAAACCACTGGTTAAGGGGTACCATCCAAATCCACTAGCACAAGGACTAACACAGTCTGTAGTTCAAAGGACACTTGAACATCGGATTATTTTTTCTTCAACGTGAGGGCGAGTAAAACACCGAACGGTGACGAAGAAACGAACCCGAAGGTCCTCATCGCCCGACATCTAACCACCTCCTTCTTGTGCCTAGTAGTGATCACAGACCTAGTAGTAGCTTCAAAGACCGTTCCTAGTAGCTTCTTGTTACTACTAGTACGGCACTTGTTATTAATGGCTTCTTGCTCCTAGTAGCGATGCACTTGTTTCTAATAGCTTCTTGTTACTACTAGTAAGGCACTTGTTACTAATTCTTGCTCCTAGTAGCGATGCACTTGTTTCTAATAGCTTCTTGTTACTACTAGTAAGGCACTTGTTACTAATAGCTTCTTGCTCCTAGTAGCGATGCACTTGTTTCTAATAGCTTCTTGTTACTACTAGTAAGGCACTTGTTACTAGTAGCTTCAAAGACCGTTCCTAGTAGCTTCTGGAAGAATCACTGGATTTTCCGGATGACCCTGGTCAACTTCTCTGCCCCCCTGGTCACCTTCGTGGTCATTGGACCGACCGACATGTTGGTGATTTGTTGCCTCCGCCATGGGTCATTACCTCAGACTAGACTGACCTACCTCGAAAGCATGGGCAGAGCCAGGGTTTGTATCGCACACAGCGACTTCGCTTCCGGCGCAGCGACTTCGCGTCCTTTTCACCACCGTTGGTTTGAGGCCTTCCGTGGAACTGGACGGCCGAGAGCTGTGGCAGTTCTTGAGCTTCTGCGTGCAGCAACTGGATAGCCGAGTTACAGATGGTGGACGTGTTGAACAGCCCCAAAAGCTCCACAAAACAAAAACACGAGCAACAAATTGTCTAGTTTTTCTTTGACCAGTGGCTTTCGATTGTACAATGGTTGTACATGTCCTGAAGACATATGAAGTCATCATCGAAGTGGATGGCATGGGCACTTGCATGACCCATTTTCCAAATACCAATCCAGTGATGTTCACTCCGCTTCCGTGTTCTCGTTTTCCTCGACGGTGACGCCCCCTTTGACAGAGTGACAGGTGTAGGTGAATCTGGTGCACCAAGCATGGACCTCCTGCAGACCAGAACTGCGCCAGTTCTCCGCAAAAGAAACTGGCACAACGGTGGAGTTCTCCAAATGAAACTCCGGTGGAGCTGTTTCACCGATTGTTTTCAGCAACGTTCGTTCCAAGAACTTGACCGAAAGATTGGTCATAAGCTTGGCAGAAAGACATGCAGTGCAATGGTGTGCACTAAATCCAATGATGTAGTCAGATGTCTCAAATCCAGTGACTTCCGCACAGGGCATATAGACGAGCCTGTTGTTTGCCAGGATGCAAAGGAAGATACTTATAGATCGGAGGGATTGCATACCGTTTGGGTGATGCTCCCATCCGGTGTCTGGACTGGGGGATAGGCCAAATAACATTCAAAGCAACACCACTCTGATCTTGTCTTCTTTTGAAGCGGAACACTGGATCCCACCACCTTGAAAAGCCAAACCCTTTGTGTTCGGTCAGCCATTTTCTGATATACAGAAATACGAAAAAGATCGTTGGTAAGGAAATCTGTTGTGGAGTGATAGGTTTCTCAACTCTGTCCCAGACCATCCATCGCATTGGACGGGATACATGGACGCCCTATTCAAAGGACTAGATCCGTCTGAGTAGCTATCCCAGTCCCTGTCGCGGTTGTTTGGTTTGGCAGTCAAATTGTGGTTTTAGCGCCTCCGTTTTTGGCGCATCCGGCGAGATCTCTCGAGGAAAACGGCAGTGACCAGTGGGTCATAGCTACCCCCCTGAGTCACTGCAGGTGGAGGCCTCGCCTTTTTCTTACTGAGATGTCTTTACCACTGGGCTCCCTGTCGAGGCTACAGACTCTTGACCTTTGCTCAGGGTGCCTTGTAATTGTACAAAACTTTGATTCCAGTTCCCTTTTTGGATGAAAAGAGGAACGCGCCTTTAAAGATTTTACCAGTGCTTTGTTCTACTTGAATCAGGTTCGGACGCCATCCCCAATTCCTTTGAAATTTCAATGAATTTCATGCACCGGCATGACTCGGCATCCCACAAAACCACCGAGGTATCAGCTGCCTGCTGATCTGAAACATTGGGCATCCGAGCGGTTGACGCTCGGCTCACTTACTGTTGCAAGAGCGAGTGTTTGTTGTTGGTACTTGGAGGTCTTGTTATATAATGTTTGTTTGCAAGACATCTAAACGCTTTATGATGCTATATTGCTTTGATCCAGGCGAAAGTCCGTAGGCAAAGATGGCAGTGCCACGGAGCGTTTGGGGCGCTTGGCATCTGGTTTGCCCCACTGAAGACGGCCTGGGCTCCGGCTTCTGAAGACGGCCAGGGCCAGAGCCCTCTAACGCGCGGTTGTCCTGGTGAACGAACAGTTGATGAAGGATTGCTACGTAGGGTTTGTGAACCAGTAACAGTCAGTAAACAATAGTAAACAGCTATATAACACGATTTTGGAACAAGGCCTGCAACCTAAGCATCATCCACTGGGCCCTGCTAATAGGATAGACCCAAGATGAAGGATTACAATGATTATCTTGGCGAGGTGGGCAGCACCGATTTTGTCTCACGGTTGTTCTCGGACATGTCAACTTGTTTTACCTGGAATATTTCCTGAAGCAACAAGGCAGGTTCAAGCCATGCCACCGATAAGCTTTTGACTGTTTGTTTCAAACTCTGCATCACGCGTGGACAAGCCAACCCGTTTGCTTTTCGCCAAGACCAGGTTAATTCCATTCTGGGGTCATGTTGCACCATGTTAGCACCTTTCCTCCGAAAGACAACTAATGAAAGAGGCCATTCCGAATTTCCTTGCTAATGACGGAAACATTTTGTTGTGCATCATGTTGTGAGCATCCACAAGAAAAACACAAATCAAAGTCAAGCAAGACGCTTCCGATGTACAACCAATCATGGTGCCAACGTCTTATTTGTTCACCGATCGATGATGGTGAAGGCATTCTCAACGAAATCACATGAATCCATGGATGCTATGGCCAACTGAACTTTTGAAGATGCTACTTGCTCCTGCCATTGACCGACCTGCACACGCAAATTCCATGCACCAGAGAAATTTTGAAGATCACTCTCCTCAAGCGTTCACATTTAAGGAAAACGCAAAACAGCAAATACTTTATCCAGCCCTATCCACAACGGCAAACAAGGTATCAATGTTGCAGGAACATTTCTTGCGAAGAGTGTTTGCTTCATTTGTCGTACCCAAACCGTTTGCCGGTGAATTTCATAGGTTCCCAATCGAGCGGCGCATGTCTAGGCTTCGCTGCTTGAAGGAGGGTGCTGGCAATGCAGCTGTGGTGTTGGGGGCCTTACTTGTGTTTTTGGGGCATTTGTGAACAGTTCTAGTGCTGTGTGTTAATTGTGTGTTCTACCAGGACCCTCCAAGGGGTGCCCAATGGAAGCCTATTGGTAGTGTGGGGTAGTCCAGCCAGGACACCCCGACAGGAGGGTCCTGGTATTTAGAATGTTTCTTAGTTTTGTTTTAGTGCTGTGATGTGAACGGATGATGAATCCGATTCTGAATACTTCGCAGTATTGGGGCACCGACCGAGATAAAGACAAAGGGTGGGCACTCAACAAAGCAAGACAAAGGGTGGTCACTTGGGAACACAACCAACTCACTTATTTCGGTGACTTTGCGCAAGTATACTTGCCGTTCTGGACATGGGTGGGTCACCCTCCGGGCGGGGGACCGGTCAGGAGTGAAGAAAACCACCGTCGCGACTGGTGGACGAATCAAAACGGACATCACGTATCTCGCGAAGTTCCGGGATTTTGACCCACGGCCATGTGGTTTTAACTGATTTGTTAGACGAACGCTGATAACTGTTCATGTTTTCTTCACGGGATTCCATGGGAAGCGGGATAAACGTTTCAAACCGCTTCTCTTTGTAGACTTCTTGGAGAATCTATTTAAGGGCTGACACCCGACAGCCGGCCAGGGGCCCACCATTGGTTGTCGTTGTTGTTGTTGTTGTTGTGGTGGTGGTGGTGGTTGTTGTTGTTGTTGTTGTTGTGGTCGTCGTCGCCGCCGTCGACATGGGCCTCTTGGGACTTCTTGGGCCTATGTTGAGCCCATCTTGGGCCTACGGCGGCCCATCTTGGGCCTATGTTGGGTCATCTTGGGGACCTCAGCCTCTGTTGGATCATCTTCGGGCACATTTTGTGCAATTTATGTGGACACGGGCCCATCACCCCAAAAAAACCGATTCCGCATGTCCGCGCGGCGCGCATTACCGACACCACCCTTGAAAAACCCACGGTTTTTGCATTTCGTGACCGTTGTCCAATGACGAAATTTTTTGATCTACCACCCCCACAAAACCCTGTAAAACACTGTGTTTTTTGAACGTCGCACGCAGAATCCTCTGTAAAGCACAGGGGGCGGACGTTGCCCCCCCCTGGGTCGGCCTGGGGTCGGCGGCAGGGGGTGGCCACGTTCCGCAAAATGCTGTGGCTTGCCACGCGCCTCCATTTGTTTGCCATGGAGGGGCTAGAGGCCGTGACGGCCCTGACCCATCCGAAGGTGATGGCCGCCGGCGTGCGGCAGGTGGGACAAGAACTCAACCTACCGGCGGATGTGAAAGCTTGGCTCAAGGATCTCAAGGCGCCCGAAGATCAAGAGGCGCTGGTGTGGTCTTTGGTCGCCGCCTTCCATCAGCAAAAGCTCGGTGGAGGGAAGAAGCGCGGCGCGGGCACCTTGGACTGGGGCTTGGAGGAAGATGACGCAGGCTGGGCGGCACTCAGACGCAGCGCCACCGGCTGGCAAAGGCAAGGGCAAGAAGCACTGCTCCATCAACCCTTTCAGCAAGCCCTACCACCAGCACTTCAAAGGCATATCCACCACTACAACACCAACCTCAACCTGGCAAACGTTCACCTTCGACGGGCCCTCGACGCCCTTGACTATTTGGGGCGCCATCCGCCCAGTCTCTATCTCCGCAACCCGGACGCGGAAGCTGACGACCATCCAATACCAGCCACCACTGAGGCACCATTCCCAACCCCTAGTGGCTTGCAGCCTGTGCACCTTCCACCGACCATTCGCCATCTCCCCACACTCTCCGCCCGGACCCTGGTCCTGCAACACCACTCCACACAGACCACACCTACACATTTCACCACCCACCGCACCCAACAAACCGACATCATGATCGACCCTCCCACCTTTCATGAAGAGCCGAGACGCCAAGCGGGCTCTCTCCTTCGGAGAGGAGAGAACCCTGCGGGATGCCACCGCCAGATGCCGGGCCCGATGACGGGCCCCTGGCCGGACTGTTGCAACGTGAACAAAACATGCTGAAAAACACATCCCAGGCCTTTAAAAGGGTTTCAAACAGACCTGCCATGAAGTCAAAAGTGTCAAGAACCAAGCCGGTTTCCCAGTTGGGTTGTTGATTGGAGCTGGTGTTAATGGACTTCAGTTGCATTGTAGTCAACAACGAAGAATATCAGATAGAATTAGATAGAATCTCATTCATTGCAGCCGGCAATAACTCATATTACTAAAAACTCAACCAAACCTATGCGTACACAATCTGCCTTAGTTGGGACATGTTGGGACAACATCACGCTGCAAGTCCCGCTGCAGCCGGAGACTGAAAAAGCGGCAGAGCACATCGACCCACTCGCCACCCAGCTGGGCTCGGCACTTCAGGCCGATGCTCTTGCGGGGCGCACGCGCCTGCGGTCTGACGATGCCGCAACGGCGCTACGTGCTGTGCGCTGCCCAGACGTTGTGGGGCGTGTGCGCTGCCTGGGTGGAGATGGTGTTGGTTCCCTGAATAGATGTGGATGCATAATTAGGGTGCGTCCAAAAAATTATCTTTTTTTTTGCGAGGTCGGCCTGCAAGCTAGCCATCATCATCCAAGCTAGCCATCATCAAATGGGATATACCCAAGGTGTGCGCTAGAAGAGGGAGACTTTTTGGAGAACCCCTGTGGAAGAAGGAAAATAGACCCAACCTGTGCTGTGGGTAGCAAGTTGCCGCTGACTACCCTCAAGAATTTTTGGCAATCATATTCTGCTCGACATGTTGAAAGCTACCACTCTCCACCAGAATCATCCAAAAAGACCTGGGGGCGTTGAATAGTTGATGGTGAACTCAGTGTCCCCTACCGCCATGGCATTGCGGTACCTCTCAAGTTCTTCAGAACATCCACGACGGGGGTTTTCGAGGAGACGTTCCGGTGGCCACCCATCCCCAAGTGAGAGGCCACGGTCCAAAACTGGTGCTTTTTAGGGTGGTCGTCCAAAACGGAACTTCGGTCAGAGTAGAAGGATCCTGCCCTAATGATGGGTCAGCATGAAATGAAAAGAATGGTGCTTCTTTGGGGGTTCATTCTGGCCTTATGGACTACACCCAATTGATCATAGATCAAGGGTGCTCCACCATAAAAAATGTGCTCCACCATGTGTTCAAGCAAGCTGGAACCGTTGAGTTTGAGCAGAAACTTCTGTCAGGACATGCCACCACCAATTTGGGACATGGGAGTGTTTGCGTTTCGAGACCAGACGTCACATTGGAGATATGGTCCTCATGGTCCACCATGCAGCCGTGAACACTCAAGCCAAGAGCCTAAAGGCTGCTCCAAACCGTGGCAGGATGGAGGTTCAGAGAGTTGTAGATTCACTTCGTAGATGTTGTTGTTTCATATGTCTTTCGCCGAAGACGATATGGAGGATTCCGCTGTCTGTTTCTCCAGCCCATTGTTTGGCTGTGAAGACACATTGTTTGGATGTGAACGTCCAGGCCATGTGGCACCTGGTAGGATGGCAACAGCTGCAATCTTCACGCAACAAGTTCACGATGTGAGTTTTTCTCCGGGCCCAAGAACGGCTTTTGGTCTTGCTCCAAGAACACGCAAACGTTGGTGGCCACTCAAATTCGTTGGGGGGATCAGTGAGATACAGAACATGTAATTACTCAAATACTCAAAGAGGAGGGATTGTCATAGTACGAAGACTATATGTGACTACATTAACGACTCATAGACCAATAATATGAATGGAATAGACTAGGTCTATGAGTCGACATATATCATTGGTCTAATATTGATATCTGTATTTACTATCGACTCTCGACTATATAATCTGAACCAATAGAGTAGTTCAGTTGTTGTTCAAATATTGCCCAATACTTTGAGGGACACGTTTGACAAGATTTATATGCTATGCGCACTGAACACACGGGCAGATCTTCTCTGATGCCCAGCGAAAGCAAGAGTGATGAGGCCGCTGCCGAGGCTTCTCGAATTGAGTGTCTTTTGCGGAATGCTTCAATCATTGAGTGATAGGGCGATATGAGCTAGAGTCAAGTTAGCAATGTTGGGGGTTGGTCATGATCCAACAATGCCGTTGTGTTCTTTTTCTCAGAACACCCTCACAAAGATAGAATAGCATATAGCATGTGAAGCATGTAAAAAGCGCACACAATGCCCAAATCCTGATGTCCTGTAGTCACACAATAAATCTTGACCATCACTCACATGGCTGACCGGGCAAATCTTTAAGCATTGTCCAAAGAACTGCATGAATTGGCCTTCGCTGGCTTCAACTCAAGAAAAAGCTTCGCAGTTCAATGGGTCTTTCAAGATTAAGCTAAAGTGGCGCATCCTTCCCTAGGGCTTCAGATGTTATCCCAGACACTCCATGTCTGCCATATATGCTTACATTGACCTCCCAAACCACCCCAACTGATCGGCATATATGGCAGTCCCATGGAGTGTCTGGGTATGGTCAATCTTGTTGGGGTTCCCTCAACCCACGCTACAGCTTCACAGGTGATGCGGAACCGATTGAGTGACCAAACGTGACCAAAAACGTCACTTTTGCTTAGGAACCCAGACCATTGATGTGGGTGTGTATGTTCAATCCGGGCAACACCTTGACCAATGATTTATCGTTTGTTCCCAACCTGCTCCGTGGGTGAGCAGGTTGTCTATCCTATCATGTATGGTTCCACGCCTCCGTGAATTGCAGGTTACACACGTGGAAACCACCTGCACGGCACGAGCAGCTGGACGAGGTGCTGCTGAAGCTTTGTGAAGCTGCTGGCATTTCTGGCGACCTGGAGGTGGGCTGCAGATCGGGACGGGATACGATGGAAAGTCTTGATACCATTCCATCCATGTTTGGACTTACTGAAATACATTTACCCCATGGAAAATTACCCTGGGACCCACATTTATGCAAGTAACTCTCCCCACACATGCGGTGCTTTGGGATATATGAGATATTGTCTCGAACCTCAAAACATAGAAGATCGAGCAATCCACAGGATTGTTCGGGTATACGGTGGTGTACGTTTGCTGCCGGATTGCTTTGACCACCGGGGTACATTGACCCTGTTTCCTGCGCGGAGTATGAATCAATGTGGGATTTTGGAAGCAGGCTGATTGAGGCTTCGAAGTGTTTGACACCACTATGTATAAGGTCAGGGATTCCCCATGTGCAGGATTTTGCTGCCCGCGATTGTATCATACAACCTCAGGTTGTCTCTATTCCAGCAGAGCTCCAAGAAGTGTTACTTGACCCGTGGAAAGCACAGATTCCTTCTACGGACGTGGTTGAAGTTGAATCTCAATACAGCGGGAACTATCATGCAGATACCAATAAAGAACAAGGATAAGTCAGTATACGAAGAACACCATCCGATATAAAGTGTGTGTTTGTATTTTTGCCAATGCTTCTATTCCTCCCATTTACAGTGCTTTTGAGGAACTTCTCCCTGGCCTCATACGAGGTTTTTCTTTACCAACCTTCTGTGCCACAGCTACAGCCCACCCTGCGCGGTGCGTTCTCCCCCACGCCGGCAGGTCGTTCTGCCAGAGGCGACTCGCTCGAAGGAGCGGCTGCATCAAGTGGTCAGAGCCTTTGCGCAGCAAGGCGTGGGAGGCGACAAACCTGGCGGGGCAAGGGAGGCGACCTGAAAGCAGAAGAGGCCTTTAGTAGGAACAAGTGCCACGCTAATGTAGTCCCTTGATTAATAAACCCCCCCCCCCCCCCCCCCCCCCCCC